CATTGCTCTTCGCTACTTCCTTGCTCGTGAGCTGCAGCAACGTGGACAGTTGCGGCTTGCGTACGTGGCCTCTAAGGCCACCACTGCTGATGTGTTCACCAAGGCACTCGCGCTTTGTGACCATCAGCGCCTCTGCACCCAGCTGGGTCTTGTGCCTGTCTTGCCTCACTTGCTCTCCTCTTGACTTTACTTGTACTGTGACATATATATACCTGCTCTTGCTTGTCTAGTTTTATATATATATGTCTGTACTCCTGCATGTGAACTGGCCTCTGGCCCTGCTCTTGTGCTCGGACTGTGTGGTGACGTTGTGATCCACCCTGAGCTTGCTCTGCTTTGCTTTACTTGACTGGTCTTGTGACCCCTTGCTCTCCCCCACTTTGCCTATGGGGGTGTGTCAGATTTATATGACATATTTGCTGTAGGCTATAGTGGGGTAGCACATATGGGGTACAGGGTTTCTAGGGCTGTATTTGTACCCAATCTTTCCTTAGTCATTTCATTCCTGTTCACTTGTTTCACAGTCCACTCCAAGGAAACAGTAGCAGCACGTGACGTCATTTTCTACGAACGACTCACGCTCCAGACGTACCTTGCCAGCCTGCAAGAGGACCAAGATCCCACAGGTGGTTTTCGTGGCGACCGAGCCTTCGCCTCCGCAGAAGACGAAGCTGACTGGGACGAGCAGAATGTGGACAACGCGTCAGAAGAAGCCGGACCTCTCCCGTTCTGCTCCGTCGACGTTCCCATGGACGAAGACAACCCTCGCAAAATTGTCAATGCCGAAACCTTCTACTACTTCGCCGACAACGGTTACGTAACACCTGCGACAGTCAACACCAACGAAGCAGAACGAGTAGGACCAAATTTCATACCTGATCCAGAAGCGGGAGATGAAGCAGCTTATCCCGAGGATGCAACTCTTCCCCGCTACTCACAGACTGGACTGCAGATACTCGGCCTCGTCACCGCAGTCCACGGCAACACCCTTCCTAAGGAGCCTGCGACGGTTCAGCAGGCTCTGGGGGGGGAACACAGGGAAAAATGGCGTGAAGCCATGGACAGAGAGTTAAAAGCGCTGGAGGAACGGAACACCTGGAAAGTTGTCCCCATCAACGTGGCAAGGAACAAGACCATTCTCACCGGGAAATGGGTCTTCCGCGTTAAAACAAAAGCAGACGGCACAATTGAGAAGTTCAAAGCACGCTGGGTTGTGCGTGGATTCGATCAGGAGCACGGACGGGACTTCACCGAGACATTCGCCCCGGTTAGCCGACATACCTCACTTCGAATCCTCCTCGCGATCGCCGCCATGAAGAAAAGGAAGCTACGGCAAATCGATGTCGCCAACGCGTTCCTCTACGCACCTGTCGACGCAGAGATCTTCGTGGAACTACCGCACGGTACTAACTGAGAGCCCAACCAGGTTTGCCAGCTGCTGAAATCGCTCTACGGAATCAAACAAGCCCCGCGGCTGTGGCAACAGTACCTACACGCTCGCCTCATTCGCATCGGATTCCGCCAACTACCTCACGACCAAGGAATGTACCGACTCACGAAGGGTACCAACTACATCCTGCTGATCGTCTACGTAGACGACCTACTCTACATCGGCTCCACTGACGACATCACCACCTGGTTCGAAGGGGAGTTACAGAGGGACCTCACACTCACGGTCTCCTCTACCGTCACACAGTACCTCGGCTTGAACATTCGAGAGGAAGAAGATGCGATCTACCTCAACGCCACTAAGTACGCCGACACCATCGCCAAACGCTTCACGCTCACGCCTACCACCATCTCTACGCCCTACCGCTACGCGACAGGAAACCACGAGGAAGGATCCACTCTACTCAAATCTGTCGGGATACGCGACTACCAGAGAAAGCTAGGATGCCTTCTCTTCGCAGCCGTTACCTGCCGCCCCGACCTCTCATACTCCGCAAGCCAGCTCGCCACTCATCTCAAAAGGCCTGAAGCAAAACACATGGCCGAACTCGACCGCGCTCTACACTATCTCGTCAGTACGCCAACGATCGGCCTAACATATTAGAAGAACGCGACCACGCCACCTAAGCTAATCGGTTATGTCGACGCAAATCACGCGGGCGACTCCGACAACAGACGATCACGCACCGGCTACATCTATCGCTTCGAGCCTATCGGGCCTATCTCCTGGCAATCGAGCAAGCAGGAACTAATTGCTCTCTCGTCAGCTGAAGCAGAATATATTGCACTCTGCTCAGCCACCAAGGAAGGACTCTATCTTCGCGAGCTGCTGGAAGAAGCAAAGTTAGCCGAGTTACCCAACTTTACCCTGTTCTGCGACAACCAGTCGGCAATTCGCATCGCCAACAAGAACGGTTTTGCGAACAGGACGAAACACATCGCCGTGCGATACTTCTTCGTGAAGGACGAGATCGAGAAGGGAAGGCTCGAGCCAGGCCCTCAGATTCACTTTTAGGCACGTAAGGGTATCAGGGTCCCTCTGCCCCTAGACCCTGATCGTCAGGGTCGCCTAAAAAAAAAGCCTGAAAGTTCAGTGTTACTTAAAAAAAAAGTCTGATGCATCAGTGTTCCCTACATAAAAAGGCTGATACTAGTACGGTAGTCTTTATTTTACTAGTAGTAAAAACACTAGGAAGGAAGCAAACAGCAGAACGGGATGTGAGGCTGGATGGCAGGTAGCACGGCTGGGAGGCGTGGATGCATCAGTGCTTGCCAGCACGACCTAGACCGCCAGAATCCCTCGCAGCGCAGCCTGCCAGCATCTCTGTGCTGCAACCTTGTAATTGGTCAAGTCACTTAATGTTGCAAATGTGGCCAATGAACGGACCAGGCGCGCCAACTAAGGGGCCATCAGTGTGGGCAAAATTGTCCGATAGTCAACGACAGGCCCTGCTGACACCGCGGGAATCTGATTTTCCCAGTACTTCCGGTCAAGTACACTCGTACCTAGTAGGATTCGCTTTCAGGGTCAAACTCGTTACAACGTAAAGGCATCAGTGTCACTTCAAAAAAATTGCTGAAAGTTCAGAGTCATGTGGCATGTGAAGGCTGAAAAATCAGCCCTAGGAAAAGCTGAACACTGGATTTTCAGGGTAGGTAAAAAAAAAACCCTGAAAATCAGGAATTTCAGGGTAAAATTCCTGATATCGTAGGGCCTGGCTCGAGCTGTCATACTGCCCCACGTCCGAAATGGCAGCTGACTACCTGACCAAGAAGCTCGGAAAGCAGAAATTCGAATATTGCATGCTGCTGACTGGACAGAGCCACGTCAGCGACACTCCAGAAGCGAAGGGGAGTGTTGGAAACAATCGGTCCTAAGCGCCTCTGTCGTGTCGAAACACTAAAGACACAAGTGAAGCAACGCATATCGAGGCACCAGCGAGTCAACCCTCGGAAGTTGAAGCAACAGCTGGAGGTTACGCGAAGGTCAAAGGTCAGCGACCTTTGACTTGACAAATGCAGCGCGACAGCAAGGACACACAACTGACTCGATATTGAGCAGTTGCCCGAGTCGCACTGTATCGAACCGCAACAGCCAACAGTAAAACAGTTATCATTCGTATCTCTTCGTATTCCTTGTAATCATATATAAAATCTTGTATCTCCTTGTTTTAATCAACTTACTTTGCCCTCACATAATAGCGCAAGGTGGTTCAGAATCTCTTTGTTAACGCTTCCGCTACTACATCATTCTACCCAGAGATTAACCCTACCAAAGATCCTAAGGGGCACTCAGCCCAACAAAGACCTCCATATTGTACTTCAAAAGGCTGTCGAGTTAGACTAAGTGTTCAGCAACAGGATTAGCGGACACACTCAGGGTTGAAGAAAAAGTCTCCAACAGAACCCTTCCCGTAAAAGGCAAGTGCCGCACCTGTATACACTTTGCTATCAGCAAATCCCTTCAAGTGCATTATTCTGAAGCATATGGACCCTTCGCACCCATGAGCTTGCATGCCACACATTAGAGACAGTGCCGCTGTCATAGGCATGCGCTGTGCTGTGCTGTGCTTGCTGTCTCCCATAGGCTTCCTCCCACCACACTCCATGTGCTCGGACACCCACTCGCTTCCTTCCAGTCAAACATGAGCAATCCTACAAATCCAGTGCCTATGTTTTCTCATCAGTATTTGTTGCTTCAAAGCCATTCAGGGCCAATCAGCGCGAACCGGGTCATTCAGGGCCCTCATGCACGGCAGCCAGGCCTGCAGCTCCATTCAGGATCTCACTCCTGCCACCACCACCACTAACTGCAGCTGCCGCTGCCAGCATGCCGCTGCTGGCCTGCCGTGCCCTGTGCTCCGCCGTGTTGCTCGAGAGGCTGCGCGTGAGGAGAGCAGAAGACGATGACTGGCATGCATTGAAGCTCCCACTCCTGCGCATGCCTGCTGAGTCAAACCCCCCTGCTGCACTGAATGCGCCACCAGCAGCAGCAGCATTAGCAGTACAAGGGGCCCCACTGGCAATGCTGGCTGCTCGCACCATGTCGAGCCCACCGTGCTGTGACGTGGATGCTGACATGGACGCTGATGCGAGCAGAGGCGGGCACTCGTACACTGTGCCAAACGCGAGCTGCTGCTTCAGCAGCTGTGGGACGGAGTTGAGAGTGGTTGGGTTGAGTGCAAATGGGGACGTGAAGGTCTCTAGGGAGGAGAAAGGGGTTGCTGAAGAGCGTGGATTAGGAAATGGGAGGGAGTTTCGTCGCCCGCCACCTGCTGCTGCTGCTGCACCACCTGCTCCTGCTCTGGTGGGGGTCTGGATTTTCCTTCCCGAAGTAGCTGCAGCCTTGGTCCGGCCTCCTGAGCTGGCCAGGTTGCTACTGATGCTGCTTAGTTGAGCTAACTGCTCTTCCAGCCTGCCAAGAGTAGAGTATCAAACAAAAACAGTTTTGTTATTACTGATGACCATCTACAGAGAATTATGCAGCACAGAATATGCCCGAAGTCGCACCTAACATCCTCCACTTTTTGTATACAGTAAAACCAACTTACTTTGCTTTATCCTGGTACAGTGAAATACTGTGCGTCCAGTACGTATCTCGGGACCGCTGTGCGGCCAACAGCTCTGCCTCGAGATTCACGTTCTCCTGCCGAAGCATCTCCACCATCTGTTCCACCTCCCCGAGTCGCTCCACCAGCACCCTGCCACGAAAAAAACACGACAGGAAAGGTGAGCGATAATAGCGAAGCAGGCAGTGAGCTTATGAACTCACACTTCTCACGCTCTCGTTGTCGATGGTCACCAGGGCACCTGCGCGCACTGTTCCACCTATGAGGATAGATCGTGACTGCTGACTTACTCCGACTCCATAGCAATCGCGTCGCGATCGAGTATGACGGCCTCCTTCTCCTGCTCCAGCCCCTCCATTCGCTCCTCCGCTCGCTCCACCCGCGCTGCTAGCTGCCTGCTCCGCGCAATCAAAGCGCGTTTCTCTCCGTCGATCTCGGCAGCCTCGTCCTCTCGCGCCGCTAGCATCACCGCCTTCGCCTCCCGCTCCTGCTGTAACATCTGCTGCAGCAACGCGGAAGCTTCCTTTTCCCGTCGAAGGCTCTGCTCTGCTGCAATTTTCTGTTCAAAAGGCACGGCGGGTGGAACGACGGGGGCGAAAAATGCATGAAAAGAGAGGCAACTAACTCTTTCGTACCGATAATAAACGCCCACTCGGGAAATCCGATGGTGAGAAGATGATAGGATGGTTTGTTTGGTGGCGCAGCAGACGGAAATATGCTGGGCTAACTTCCACGCGGCTTGGAAGTTATGCCGCTATCTCAAGTGTGTTTCCGGCACTCATGCGTTGCAGCGAGATACATGAGCACTACAACACCGCATGCCGCGCCGAGCCGTTGAGCATCGAGCACCTCAAAAGCTATCACATTAGTACCGCTTTATACCCTTCCTCCTCGCTCCCGTGCAGTTGCTGTTTGAGTACGTAATTTTGCGGCTATTCCTGACCATACTCTCAGGGCGGCCTCGGGTGCAACCCTTCTGCAAGAGCGCGAGTCACGGGGAACGCACCTGGGATCTCAGCGACGTCAGTTCCTTCTCCTGCTCGCGGCTAGCTCGCTCCAGCTCCTTTACCCTCCGCTTCAGATCCGCTGCCTTTTGCGCCGCTTCTGCCTTTTGCGCCTCCTCCGCCTTTTGCGCCTCCTCCGCCCTTTGCGCCTCCGCCGGCTTTTGGGCCTCCCATGCTTTTTCCGTCTCCCATGCCTGCTGCGCCTCCGCCGCCTTTTGATCCGCCCATGCATTTTGCGGTTCCCCGTGCTGATGCGTCTCTGAGCTCTTCCGCCACTCGCCCAGGTAAAACGGTCCCGGGTCTCCTGGCAGGGGAATGGCGGTTCCCACCGTCAACTCGTCGGTTCCAACGACATGACGGTGCCGTTGACCAGCACCCGTGACGGCGCCAACGCTCGAGTGCCTCAAAGTAGGTATTCCGCTGGGCCGCGGAATGGCGGAGGGGCCTTCCATGCGGGGGTGGTAGCCCACCGCCATCGTGGCTCGATTGACGAGGGAAGAGATAACCTACAGCTCAAGCGGACTAGTGGATAAGATTATTAGAATTTGAAAACGCTTCAGGAGAGAGTACTCTATGTTTTTAATGACCATCACACGGCCCGGGATACACCTAATGAAAGGGCCTTGACACATGCAGCCAGTCGGCACACTACTTCAAGCGGTCGCTTTCGTACTGGATACCTGCAGCTTTCGTAGGCAGGGGGAATGGAAGAACGTTGTCACAACAACGCTGCTGTTACAATGCTGCTGTCACAACAACGCTGCTGTCACAAGTGAACAAGATAGGCCAGAGCTGCCAGGAGACACATCGTCAAACGGGAGGGATCGGTTGAGAGTGGTGGAAAGCATGGAGAGGGGCGTGATAACATTTGTTTGTGACGACCAAGCATGCACGCAGCAATCCTGTTGTGAGGTTTGGTGGGTTGGGGGGGTGTTGAGACCGCGCCGCGCATTGAAACGTGCAGAACGCGTCGCGAAATTGCCCTTGGTTGGAATTGCAATCTTGGTCCATGGACGCAGATCGTGCAGCCAACCATTGGCAATCCAAGCACCCCCGCCAAGACACAGATTCTCCGATATAGTCTGTCCTCTTATGGAACGAAGTTGTCAAAGCGGGTGTGCAATATACCCTCTCGTGAAGTGGATATTCAACTGAATGACTCGGCGTGGAAGTCGCACCAGTTTATTTCAGCTCTAAATAACTCAGCTCCACAACTCGCACTACATATGCATCAGCCACCACTATGACGTCAGTCGTGAACACGCTACCCGACGATCTCTGGCTCACAGTTCTCCGCTTAGGCGTCGCGAGGAATCTCGGCTATCGCGATCTCTGCTGCGTGGCGCTAGCCTCCCGCCGATTCCGGCGGCTCGGTTCGTGCGACGCGTTGTGGGAATCCGCGTGGAATAAATACTGGGGCGGCTCGGATTCCACCGGGAAACCGTCAAAATCAGCACGTAAAGTGCTATCTGGGCCCAGTTGTGTCCGTTCGGAAAGCGTGCAAGGCGCGAGGGAGCATTCGCAAGCAGGCAGAGGAGAAGGGTCGGTCGGCGTGGGCGTATGGGATGTACAATCTGTAGGGAGCAAGCGGAATGCTCTAGACGACGCGCCCTTGTCGGCAGGCGCGATGAACTCTCGAGATGAGGAAACGCGGTGTCTTGGCGTGGGGACGCGCGTGTTGGCATCGGGGGTAGGAAAGTTCCAACCGATGGTTCGAGCGAGTGGCGATGCGGCGAGTGAAGTTTCGTGGAAGCGACGGTTTCAGGACAGGTGTGTTTCTGTCCGAGGTTGCGAGCGAGACGGACGAGTCCAATGATTGCGTCTCTGTGATGAAGTGATGTATATTGGTGAGTGCAGTGCATGGCCCATGCGGGTGCATTGGAGGGAGGTGATGACTGGTGTAGGCGCTTCCGCGGGAGATGGCGATTGGTTTGACCTGCCTGGTGCTCAACCCCCTCCTCCACCCGTCTCTCCCTCTCAAACCCTGCCACCGCACCTCCTCCCAGCCCCTCTCCTCCTTTCTAGGCTGTTTTGAGGAGAAGCAGCGTTTGTGGCGGGCGCATTGAAGGGGGTGGACGCGGCACCATGTCCCTGCATCCCCCATCACGCCTTGCTCTCGCTCAACGCCGCCACTTTCCCCGCTCCGTCCCTCCCATCCCGCCGCTTGTCCAGATTCGACAAGGAGAGGCAGCGACTGGTGCAGGCGCATCGCAGGGAGGTGATGCGACAGCAGAGCCACGTGGCAGAGCTTGAGAGGCGCATTCGGGAGGGCGAGGAGGAGAGGGCGCGGGTGCGAGCCGCAATGGCTAGGAGCGTGCAGGAAGCGAGGAGGCTTGAGCGGAGCATGTGAGTGGGGAAGGGGGGAAGGTGGCATGTGGGGGGAGTGTGGCGTGTGAGAGTGGCATGTGGGGGGAGTGTGGCGTGTGCATGGGCTGTGGGGGAGTGGAAGTGAAGCGCTGCGCTGGCTGGGAGCGTCACGTGCAGGAAGCAAAGTGGCTTGAGCGGATCATGTGAGTGCAAAAGGGAGAGTGTGGCACGTGGTGTTGATAGGCTGTGAGGGATCGGGTGAGAGCGGCTCTGGCTGGGAGCGTGCAGGAAACCAATCGGCTTGAGCGGATGATGTGAGTGAGGAGGGGGTAGTGTGGCACGTGGTGTTGGCGGGGTGTGAGTCAGCGGGTGGGAGCAGAGCTGGGGGGAAACGTGCAGGATGCCAGGAGGCTTGCGCGGATCATGTGCGTGGGGGGAGTGTGGCATGTGGACGGGAAATGAGGGAGTGGAAGCGAGGAAGTGCAAGGAAGTGAAAGTGTGACAAGGTTGTTGAGTGTGTTTTCCAGTCGTGCATGCATGGGGTATGAATGATGCAGCGCACAGGGGGCACTGCTGCACAGGAGGAGAGGCAACGGGTGAGAGTGACTCTGGCTGGGGGAGTGCAGGAGGCGAAGAGGCTTGAGCGGATGATGTAAGTGGGGGCAGTGTGACATGTGATGAAAGGGCTGCGAGGGAGTGCATTCGAGGTAGTGTGAGGAAAGGAGAGTGTGAGAAGAGTTGTGAGTTGGCTTTTGAGTGCGTTTGCAGGGACGGGGACTGCTGAAGCTGAAGGAGACAGGATGGCAGTGTATGATAGCGCCTTCTTGCTGCTGCTGGTCCTCCTCCTCCTCCTCCTCCTCCTCCTCCTCCTCCTCCTCCTCCTCCTCCTCCTCCTCCTCCTCCTCCTCCTCCTCCTCCTCCTCCTCCTCCTCCTCCTCCTCATCCTCCTCCTCCTCGGCACGGCAAGGCACGTGGTGCAGCAGCGGCTTGACATTATTTCCTTTCATCCACGCTCTCAATCCATTTCAGGGCAGCAGGCATTGCGCCAGAGCAAGTGTGGGAGCCGAGGCACGTGGTGCTGTAATGGAAGCAGCAGCTGGTGGGGCAGGCTCACAGCACTTCATTAGCTCCCACCCACCCTCGCACTCCCTTTCCTCCACAGGGCAGCAGGCAATGCTCCAGAGCAAGTGTGGGAGCCGAGGCACATGGTGCAGCAGCGGCAGCAGCTGGTGGGGCAGATGCCTGTGAATGCAGTGGCGAGGCTGGCAGCACTGCGGCAGGACGCTCTTCTGCTCTCACACACCTTGAGAGGCCTGGAGTCCAGTGTGGTGAGGAGGGTTGCAGTGCGGTGGATGAGGGGGTGTGGATGAGAGTATGTGTTGAATGACACGTGGATGGAGTATTCATGCATACATCTGCAGTGCAATCCAATGTTCTGCAAGGCGTTATGGTACAGGCCTTGCACAATGTTATCCAATGCAAGCTGTGTGCGATGCTCCTCTTCTTCCTCCCCACACGTACCCACTCATCTCTTCTTTCCCATCCTCCAAACCTGCTCCCCAGTGCACACAGCGCAGGCAGCTTTCAGAAGCCCAGAGAGTGCTGCAGGGCCTCTTGTTTCCTCCACCTCACTCTGCTCCTCAACATCCTTCTCTTCCCCTATCCGTTGCTCACTCCCCCCCAACCCCCCTTGCTCCCCAGTGCACACACCGCAGGCAGCTCTCAGAAGCCCAGACTGTGCTGCAGGGCCTCTTGTTCCGTCCCAAGCCCCTCCCATCTCAGGCTGCTCCGCACCAGCCCTCTCTTCCTCTGCCTCTTGCCCACTCGTGCAAGAAGCACAAGGATAGTGCCTGAAGATTCGGGCAGTTTGGAAAAGGTTTCCATCGTATTACTCCACTCGCCTTTGCAGCGGTGCTCTGTAGGGGCTCAGATACCACACCTGCAATTGGCAAGGGGATTTTGAGTGTTCGAATGAGGGCTGTATAACTTGTAAGTAGCAATCGGTAGTGTTGTCAGGGCCCTTGATATCAGGGTAAAATACCCTGATTACCCTGATTTCAGGGTTGACATAACCCCCTTGCCCTGAAAAATCAGGGTCTTGGTTTTTTCAGCCCTGAGATTTCAGTTTTATATCACCCTGAGATTTCAGAGTAGTATACACCTGCCTGCCCTGAGGCGTCAGGGTTCTTGTATGGCGTACCCTGAAACGGTTACACTGTACGCCTAGGGGCCCCAGTCCTTGATTTCCGAGAGTTGGCGCCGAAACACGTGAGTCGCCCACCACCACTCAAATTGGCGACAAATTGGCCCACATGGGGCAACATACAGTGATGCGGCAGGCGTGACTGCCCGTTACAGTACCCCCTTCACACCCACCACTAACACGTCTGCTGCTGCACGTCCCTAGTTGACCAATCGTAGCACATTGTGAGTCAAGTTCCCGCGTGTTGCCTCAGTGCGCTGGCATTGCCCAAGGCGCCTTCCAACTCCCATCACCCCACCCATCTCAAGCCAGTGCAGTGCATGTTGGTGGCACCTGGCCACCTCGTTCACCATGCACTTCCATCTGTTCAGTACGTCTCTTCTTTGCTCGGCAGGCTCTGCTCTGCGGTGGTTGCAAACACTATGCTATGCTCTGGGAATCCGCATTGAATACCTCTCGATCGCCATGGCGGACTCTAGCCCGCCTCTCACCCACACAGATCATGTATTAGCTCCGATTGTTAACAACAGCATTCGTGGCCTTACGGGCCTTGACGTCCTCCGACCTGCGAGCGCTATCGTTAACATGGCCCGCACTCGTCTCCCTAGTGCGATTTCCACCCAGCACGCTATTAGAGGGGCCCTTCGTCCCACGGTACCACCCTCGGCCTCAACTCCTGCTCAGGCTGATTCTCAGCCTGATCTATCAACTAGGGCTGCGCCGACTTCTGAAACGCGGCTCTACTCTACCGCTGAGATGGGCAGGATGGCGAGGTGTCGCCTCCTCCCGCGTCTACGTCACGGCCGACACCAGCAAGGCGGATGGGCGTGAGAGTAGGGCTGAGACACGGCACGATGCGCTTTCGGCAAGCGCAGATTACCTTCCATCGTGCCTGCGCTGGACCTTCAGCATCAACCGCGACACCGTCCCCAATCGCAGGCCCCTCCAATCCTTCCACCTCCAACTCATCCATTCTGCTAGTCGACGAGGCAGAGCTGAAGTATCAGGACGCCCTGTACCGATACACGAAAGAGTGGTCAGGTGATTTCCCGTGGCTTGTTTTGTGTCAGCAACCTGACGAATTTCCCTCCGTGAAATGCGGTGTATGTGTGGCTCAGGGTGTGATAGGAACGAAATTCGGCCGCGCAGGGCATGGTGCAGTTGACATTCAGACCCAAGCGTTCCGAGCACACCAGAGAACGAGGAAGAACAAACGTGCTTTGAAGGAGCAGGAAAACGCAGAGAGGAAGGCAAAGGGACAGACATTGCTTGACAACTGCCCCGCGGTGTGCGATATCGAGAAGGAGCGTGTGATCGCTCTGGCCGTGACCCTGCTCTTCATATGCCAACAGGACGCACCGATCGAGATGTGGGTCGACTTGGTGAAGCATCTAGCCGAACGCCAGACTCCTGGTTTTCCTAAGAAAGGCTACGGTGCTTACTACACCACGTAAGTCTTGTCCGAATGACACGCTTTTGCCGTTTGAGGGTGTTGCGCTACTTGTGCAGTACGTCGGGCATGGGGCTCGTGCTTGGAGGAAGGAGTCGAGTTGTTCTCACTGGCCACGCAGACGCGTTTTGGGTTGACGACTTGGCTACGCAGCGGTCGTCATAGGGTTACACTTTCGGCCTTGACTCTGGTTCTTTTTCTTGGCGGTCTACCTGATCGTCTTTTGTTCTCAGTTCCAGTTGTGAGGCCGAGATCTAAGCAGGGGCCATGGCTGCACAGGAGTTACGCTGGCTCACCTACCTTTTGACCGACTTGGGAGAGCAGCCTAGTTCTCCTCCAGTTCTGTACGTCGACAACAAGGCCATGATTGCCTTGTGCCAGGAGCACAAACTGGAGCACAGGATGAAGCACATCGCGCTGCGTTACTTCCTTGCTTGAGAGTTGCAACAGCGTGGTCAGCTTCGTCTTGCTTACGTGGCCACTCGGGCCAACACTGCTGATATATTCACCAAGGCACTTCAACCTGGTGATCATCAGCGTTTCTGTACTGTTTTAGACCTTGCCTATTTTGCCTCACTTCCTCACTTCGTGACTTTGCTTGTACTGTAATATATATACTTGTGTCTGTATGCTTACACTTGCTAGGCTGTGATCATTGTACTACTTGTTCCCATATATATAACTCTGCATGTGAACTGGCCTTGTGGCCTCTTCCTTGTGCTCAGAATGTGTGGTGACTTCGTGATCCACCCTGAGCTTGCTTTGCTTCTCTTGACTGATTTTGTGACCCCTTGTTCTCCCCCACTTTGCTTATGGGGGTGTGAAAAACTATAGTACGGCTTATGTTGTGTAGGCTGTAGTGGGGTAGCTTATATGGGGTACAACCCAAATAGGGTTAGTACTTGTACCACATTTCTGCTCGTTAGTTTCTGACAATTGGCGCATCATGTACTGCTGGATGTAGCTGGTAGCCACCAGGATTTTCTAATCTGTTGGACCGACTGCACCAGTGAAGACGACACGTGAGTGTCATCGGCTTCGCTTGAGGCATCTTTGCTTATTGGTGATTGTCTTGCCCAAAAGCGTGCTGCGGATATTGACCACCTTTCTTACGGGGGGGGGGGGGGGGGGGGGGGGGTAGTGTAAGGAATTTTCCCGCAATCCTGATCGGGGTTGACTGCTTCGAGTTCAACCCCGATTTTCGGACTAAGCACGTTTGGCCGACATCAACGATGCTGAGGCTCCTCGCGTCGCCTTCGGCATTTTTCCTTCGCCAAACCTGCACCCAACATCACTCACGCGAGGTTCCCTCCTAGGTAGGCTAGCCACTACATTAGCGTGTGCCTTCATTGTATTCTCGGTCTGTTCAATTACGATCTCATTATTCGTTAATCTGCGCACTCTCCTTTACAACTCATAACAAACCCAGACAGAGCCTAGGGTCATAAAATCATATTTGTGCGTTAACCAGTGGGGAGATTCTTCATTACAAACATGAAATCTCTTGTTTAGGATATGCAATCATGTTCACATAAGAGACATGCTACTATATAGAAATAATAGCTCACATGCCAACCTTCTATTGCAAAACTCAAAAACATTACATGCAGATTACCTCCAATCTATGCTGAACCTCTAATTGTTGCTACTGGTTGTAAATGCAACTGCTACTTGCCCACTGTAATTAACCCTAGACTCATTACTGCCAAAATCATCATTTGCCACTAACACAAGCAAGAAACATGCCACACCCCACCAACATCTCCCACATACTGCTGCATCTGCTGGCGGGCAATCTTTGCGAGGGCGCGCTTGTAAATGTCGACATTCTAACCCAATCGGACGATATTGAACAGCCCCTCGGGGAAGCGGTAGATGATGCCCCACATGACCCCGTGCGTCCAGTAGGGCGTGACCCGCACCTCCTGCCCCACCCAGTTGGCCCCGCGTTTTGCATACAGGTCAAGGAATGGGTAGGTGAGCGACGCGTGGCGGATCTTGGACATATTGGTCGCCAGAAACAGAGGGACATGCATATGGGGAGCACTAGGCAGAACAATGAAGAGGGGGGGTAACAGTCAGTTTCCGAGAGGTGGGCAACGCGTGGCGGATCTTGGACATATTGGTCGTTACAAACAGAGGGGCCTGGAGAAGGGCATCATACGGTAAAGGCATATGGAAAAGAACATGTCACTCGTGGACGTATGGTTGTGGCGAATGGTAGATGGAATGACACAATCCTCACCCAAGCAAATAGGACAAGACGGTCCTACAACGAGGACCTTGCGTGTCGTAACCCAAGTTTCGTCAACAAGGGAAACCGGCGTGCCCGTATTGACTAACACACACTTGTAAGAGTGGCTTAAATGCCTCGTTCATGGTCATCTATGCGTCCACATAACAGTAAATTCCGTTGGATGGACAAATGGGACAAGTGACAACAAGTTTAGGTGGTCAATATTAGGCCCTAAATTTGTTGTGTGCGCGTCCAAGCGTTTGGGAGTTGGTCCACCAGACGTGGTGCCCTTTGTCTCATGTTGCCAGGATATGCTATTCGTGAAATCAGCGGAATAACTCTCCTTTTATTTTTTTTACTTCGTTCTGCGAGAGTTGCATCAGCGTGGCCAGACACTCGTGTGACATGTGGTCTCTGAGGCCAACACTACAGATCTTTTCACCAAGGCGTTGCCGCCTTGTGACCACCAGCGTTTCTGCACCCAGATTGGCCTTGTGTGTACAGGCCCTCACTTTCTTGAGCAGAGATGCTTTGTCTTGTACTCTTACATCATGTTCTATGTCTGTGATTGTGGACAGGCCTTGTGGCCCCTTGCTTCTGTAGAGATGCTTGTCATGCATGTCTTGTACTCTTGCATCTCTTATATATACTCTATTGCATGTAACCTGGCCTTGTGGCCCCTTGCTTGTTCGCGGCCTATGTTGTGATCTTGAGATCTACCCCGAGAGATGTTTTGTTCTTGTGAACTGGACTTGTGACCGTTGCTTGGTCTTCCTGGCTGGTCCTGTGGCCCTTGCTCTTGGGTTGTGTGTTGCTTTCTATAGGACCACCGTCACCAAGACTATGGGGGTGTGTCAGACTATAATTGTTATTATTTGCTAGTTTAGTCTAGGTGTTACACTGAGTTATGCTGTAGAGGGTATAACCCCCTTAGGGTTTGCTATATGCTCCCTTGTACTGCTTGT